ACAATAAATGCCTTTTTGACGCTCTTTGATACTAGATTTAATGTGAAATAAACATGAATGAACATTTGATGTAATCGCTCAATCAGTGTTTCATCCGTGGAAAGATGTCAATAAAACAGCATTTCATTTTCCTCAGGCAGGTCATCATCAGTGTCAACAGCTCGTTAGTTTGCTAGAGAAATTAAGTCTAGAGAAGAGCATTTCGCAAAATATTAGACTATATACCACTGATCTATATAATCTAATAATATATCTTTAGTATAGATCAATGCTATATACTCATTATATTTTACTTTACTTGTTAGTGATGTCTTAATTATTTAATGCATGTTTAAATAAATCTGTTATGACAGTTATTTTTGCTTTCATTCTCAGGTGGAGTACAACCGGCAGAAGATGGAGGTGGACGCGCGTCCGAGGAAGGCTGTGATCCCAAACCTGCAGCCGGACACCAGCTACGACTTCAAGATCACCAGCCCTGAGGGGAACATGGGCGGCCTCAGACACCGCATTCACGCCAAGACATCTCCTCCCATCCTCATCCGCCGGCCCGAGGTGGACCACACGCGAGAGACCGAAGCCATGGTCACCATCATACTGCCCTCGCTGGACACCAGGAGCAGCGTCAGGTGCGAGCAGCGCTTACATGCACGCTTCACACCGCACGATCTTCACTCCCGACAGGTTTTGTGAAATCACTGACCAGAGATGTGCAGAGAGTTCCTCAGGGGCAGGGGCTCAGATGTAAAACAGGGGCAATGTAAAAAATATATATATATGACCCTGGACCACAAAACCAGTCATAAGGGTCAATTTTTCGAAAGCTGAATACACAAGCTTTCCACTGATGTATGGTTTGTTAGGATAGGACAATATTTGGCTGAGATACAACTATTTGAAAATCTGGAATCTGAGGGTGCAAAAAAATCTAAATATTGAGAAAATCATCTTTAAAGTTGTTCAAATGAAGTTCTTAACAACTTGGAACATGATCTTTACTTAATATCCTAATGATTTTTGGCATAAAAGAAAAATTGATCATTTTGACCCAAACAATGTATTGTTGGCTATTGCTACAAATATACCCCAGCGACTTAACACTGCTTTTGTGCTGCAGGAACACATATATAGGTCGAAGTTTAGATACATTACTATTTTATATTTTTGCAAGAAGTCACTTTTAGTCATCAAGCCTGCATTTATTTGATCAAAATTTTAATATACTTTCAAATACATTTTATGCAATGCTGATTTATTATCCATGTTGGAAACCTGTGATATTTTTTTTAGGATTCTTTGATGAATAAAAAGATACAAAAGAACAGCATTTATTTAAAATAAAACTTTTGTAACAATATACAGTTATACACTACCGTTCATGAGCTTGAGGTCAGTATTTTTTTTTTATTTTTTTTTTTTAAAGAAGTTAGTTTTTATTCAGCAAGGATTTGTTAAATTGATAGAAAAGTGATAGTTAAGATTTATATTGTTAGAAAACATCACTATTTTGAATAAATGCTGTGTTTTTTAACTTTTTATTTATCAGTGAACCCTAAAAAGTATCACAGGTTCCAAAAAAAAATAAAAATAAGCAGCAAAACAGTTTCCAGCACTGATAATAAATCAGCATATTTTAATGATTTTACAATATATACAATATGTACAAAATATATTTTAATGTATATTTTTAATTGTGTAACGTTACGTTCAAAATAACTACAAAATGTCATGCCTTTGAAAAATAAAGAGAACAACAGAATGCGCTGCTTTAGCGTGTCTCGGTCTCCTTGAGCATCTTTCTGCTGCATGCCACAAACATGAACCACAGCGAATACTCGTCTTTTAAAAGGCTTCATTTAGATGATTTGACGTTAAATGCATCATATAAGTCACTTTGGAATAAATCACAGTAGGCCTATGTATCATGATAAACGCTGGTCTACACAGAAGAAAGCCCTGTCTAGACTCTGCCCCGGTATGAGTTGTGTCGAGCTATTCATTAGTCTGTTTGATGAGAAAAATATGAAATGTAGTTGCAATAAAATGGGTAATTAATCCATACAACTGCAGCAGTGGAGGACTATTATTCTGCTGCGTGATACTGCGGAAGAACTGATGATGGCACTGTTTGCTCTTCGGCTGACCAATCAGCAGAAAGGGGCGTTTAATTCCCGCCCACATGTAGAAATCGAATATTCAAGCTGTTAATTCATTTTTCTACCCCTGAGCGAAAAACGAAAATTTAAGCTGAATTCTCTGTTTTCAATTTTTGGAAAAAAACGAAAAAGGAGCCGTTTTCTAATTTTTCTACTTTCAATATTAAATCAAAAAACGAATGATCGAATGATACACGGATTCTTACCTTTATTATTGCGACTTTTGGTGCTGCACGGTTTTGTGCAGTGCTTTTGTAGTCATTTAGCATCCATTTTCTCAGCAATGTAATTTGATTTATAAAATAAAGATAAAGCGAAGATCCAGATCGCTCCACAAATGTAAGCTCGTCTGTCCATGTATTTTTCAACCGATTTATGAATAAGAATGGGAAATGACTGCTCCACATCCAATGAAATTTGAACTTCTTGTGCCAGATCATGATTGGTTGGTGTATTATACATGACAAACGGGCAATTGATGTATTGTGTAATATTTTAAAATATATAATATATGGATTTTATTTATTTATTTAGCTTTAATGATGATTTTTTTCCCCGTCCGTCAACCCACTCACTGAAAGAACCATATATGGCTCGAGAGCCCAGCTTTCCGAACAGACTAGTCACCATAGCAACGCCTCAGATTGACAGATATGCAAAAATAAACAGGAATTTTCCCGACTTCTGAGCGATTAGTTACTGTTTTGCACACATTGTCATGTTACTTATAATTCAAATGCATTTTGTTTTATTGACTACAATATCATTTGCTATTTGTCTGAGAGGGGCACTTTTGAATAATTTTTAAAAATGGCAGGGGCTCCAGCCCCCAAAGCCAATATCTGCCAATGGGGTAAGAAAAATAATCTTGTTTAACCTTTGAATTAAGATTACTTTTCTTGCCCCATTGGCAGATATTTTTGCTCATTTTAAGCAAAAACGTTTTGTTTGAGAAAACAAGACATAAAATCTTAAGTCATTTCACCTGTCAAGTAAATGCATCTTGATTCAAGAATGTTCAGATATTTGTACTGGAAAACAACAAAAATGCTAAAAAAGTAAATCATTTTTTGCAGTGTGCCCCAGATAGTCGTGCAGTGTGAACTCTGCGTTACATGCACGCTTCATCAGACGCACACACTTCCAGCACGCTCAAACACACACCTGAGGACGCATGAATCATGCATGACGTGCGCACACATACGTGCAGGAATCATCAGCCGCTGCGCTGTGAATAATTCGGAGCCGCAGTCGATTTGTGTTTCTGGCTGCTTCCTGTGGAAGAAAATCACTTCAGCTCCCAATGCAACGCTCTAACTGCAGCGCGCACACTTTACAGCACGAGCCGTTCTCACCGCAGCTCATGAAGATGTGTGATGTGTGAGCCAAGGGCATGATGCTTCATCTGTGTGAACCGAACGCAGCGAGAGCGACAGAGCACGTCCTCGCTGATTAAACACAAATGATTCTCAAGCAGTTCACTCAATGAATCAGTTACATCATTTACACTGAGTCACTGAACCACAAGCCATTATTTACCATCGTATCTGAAGAAAAAACCCGTGTAGAATAAATATGAAAACAGACAATACGCTGCAAAAAAAATTCTTACTCAGTCTTTTTGTCTTGTTTTGCAGTACAAACATCCTTTAAATCAAGATACATTCCCTCAAGAAAATTAACCATGGTTTTACTACAAATAAAACCATGGTTACTATAGTTACACCAAATTAATCATGGTTTTGCTACACTAACCATACTTTAGCCACAGTAATTGTTGTAAAACTGTTGTTATACATTTACATTTACTCATTTGGCAGATGCTTTTATCCAAAGCTACTTACAATTGAGGAATACAACAAGTGATTCACTGTAAGATGGCAATAAACACGAGAAGTGCCTATTATACAAGGTTTCAGTCATCGTTTAAAGCGGTAAAAGCTAGGACAGGATCAGTAAACGAATGCATCCTCCCAGCTAGCAGATATTTACTCTAAAGGACAGTAACAGAAATGGTAATCAATATGGTTACTACACTTTTACTACAATAAAACCATGGTTAATTTTCGTACTTGAGACGCAAAATTACTTTTGATATTGTTTTTGTAAAAAAACATGTATCAAATTTAAGTGAATTTTTGCTTAAAACAAGAAAAATATCTGCCAATGGAGTCAGAAAAACAAACTTATTTTCCCTTTGAATTATTATTGATTTTTTCTTAATGTATTGACAGATATATTTTCTTGTTTTAAACATGAATTCCCTTCGTTTTGGTCGATTTTCCAATAAACAAGACTTAAGACCTAATTGTCATTTTATTTATCCAGCAAATATATCCTGATTTAAAAATGTTTAGATATTTGGACAAAAATACTGAGTAGGAAAATCTGTTTTTTGCAATGTAATAATATAGACAGAAATAGTTTTTTGCTTCCTTAAAAGTGCTAAAAGAATCATTAACGAGTCGTTGAATTCACACGCCTCACATTTAGTATATATTTGCATTTATGCATTTGGCAGATGCTTTAATTTTTTTCCTGCAGGAACATCTATGTGGTGGTGGTTCCTCTGAAGAGAGCCAGAGGAGTGATCCGGCATCTGAAGAGCCCAGACGAGATGGACCTGGAGGAGGTAGAACTAATTTAACATCTCTCTGATTATTATTATTGCTATGTGTGAGATCTGGTGCAGATCTACAGAATCTGTGATTGCTCATAAAAGAATTTGACCAATTGGGATCTTTTCACATCTCCCTGAAAATTGTCAACAAAATGGACAACATCTGCTCTTCTGACCATTGGCAGATAATTTAAGGACTGGGAGAAAACAAGCTGTTCGCAGTCCATTATGATTATGAATGAAATAATTTTACCTGTGACGTAAACGCATCTTGATTCAAGATTTTTTAGATATTTGTGCTAGAAAACAAGACAAAAATACTAAGGAAGAACATCATTTTTTGCAGTGTAGTTCTGTTGGCCGTTTGTACTGGTGTGAGTGTTGAGCGGTCAGTGACGCCGCTAATGAAATACAGTCTCAGCAGCGTTTCCGCTCTTTCTGCTGGATGTGGAACATTGTATGAAAATCCTGAGCTTTGACTTTCTTCTGTCGGAGGTCGTGCAGGTGAATGTGAGCGTGAGAGTCTTAACAAGCTGTCAGATCAGTGAACCAGGAGGGTGTGAGCACACACACACACACACTCTCACACACAAACACAC